ATTATAGACCAATAATGGTTAATTTTACTAGTTAGGTTTAGAGGTATGGTGTGAATTAAGTTCTGGTTCAGGTTAGGGTTAATTTTAGACCAATAGTGGTTAATTTTACTAGTTAGGTTTAGAGGTATGGTGTGAATTAAGTTATGGTTCAGGTTAGGGTTAACTATAGACCAATAATGGTTAATTTTAGGGGAAATGTCTGGGTTAGACATAAAAACAGTTATTAAAATGAATGGAAGTCAATGCAAAGTCCTCAGTTGGATGCAAATACAAGGATGTGTGTGTGTCTGTGGGGGCGGGGTCCTACAATGTGGGGACAATTTCCCCCAGAAAAGCTGCCTCGTGGGGACCGAAGTGAATCGTGGGGAACTTGCATTGGTCCCCACATTTCCAAATGCATGTTACGGGTGTGGGGTTAGGTTTAGGGCCAAGGTTTAGGTTAGTTTTAGGGTCAGGTAAGTTTCTGTGAGGTTAATTTTAGAGTATTTGGTCAGGGTTAGGATATAAAATTTCCAAAAAAGAGAATGGAAGTCAATGTAGAGTCCCCACAAAGATAGAGACATAGTAGGTGTGTGTGTGTGTGTGTGTGTGTGTGTGTGTGTGTGTGGGAGATGGAGAATGACAGTAAACAAAAAAAGATGTCACCACTACTGCAAATCAGATCAAAAAGTGTTGGTGATACTTCAGTGTGTGTGAGAACACACTCACTCCTCTGCTCTGCAGGAACAGCATTGGCATTCACGTCACAACACACACACACACACACACACACACACACACACACACGTTGAAGATGCTCGTGTCTCTCCGTCCTTCCACTCGTGAGTTCTGCTTCCTTCAGGTCCGTGTTCTGTTTGAACCGGCTCATCGATCCAAAGCGCTCCACGCTGCTCTGTTTGACGAGTCTCGCCGTTAATGATATTTTCAGACTTGCGCTTCGACTTGGCAGCTGCTGCTCACCCGCTCCTCTCACAGAGGCGAGAAGCCTGACGTAATGTTTTATTAATCAAAACGCACTTTTGTTTACTTCTGTAAAAATCCTCCACATCAGCTGGCTTATTGGGTCTGAAACTCGGCCGTGACAACTTTTCAACTCCTTTCCGTTACAGTCACAGACTATCAACGCCATGTGTTTATTTTATTTTATTTATTTATGTTTTGCTTTTAGGTTCTGCTGCACAGCCCGCTGCGCTCAGCTCAGACCTTGTTCCGGATGCGCTTGCGTACGAGGAGCCCAGCGGAGAGTGCGAGAGCTCGGCCCATGGCGCCGCTGCTCCTGTTGCTGAGCTGCTCGTGTGCAGTGGCGGCGGTGGTGGGCTTCCCGTTCAGGACACCCCCGGACCTGGATGTGACTCCGCGTGTCACCGTGTTGAGCAGCGGTAAGGATGGACTTGCTTCTAACAGAAAAAAAAAAACTGGCCAAAGTCTCACAGACTGAGGTTAAAATCAGTGACAACTTCTGTAGCAAGACATTTTTTCCCCCAAGTTTTTTTGTAGTGAAACATGAGACTTGTTGCAAAATTCCAGGAATTGTCAAAGTTGAAAACTTTCCATGAGAATTAACTTTTTCTTTGTGTTTTATTTTTACCTTAAAGAACTAAAAAAGTGCTTTTATGTGGCCTAAATTGTTTCATCTTTAGCTTTGCCTTTCAAGAATTACCCGAAATTTGACTCATTTATATGTTAATTGTTGCAGATATTTTGACCTTGCGAGCTCAAATATATGCCTCTGTAGTTCACGTTCACCCCTCCGTCCTTGTATTTTTCTCAGTGCACACACACACTCTCTGTTATCTCCTCCATTGACTGCAGATATTTATTTTTTAGCTGTGATTATTATTTACGTGCCTCGTGAGTGACGGTGTATAGCCCCAGGTGCTGCAGAGACAGAAGCAGATGTGTGGATTTCTTTCACTCGGATCCCTGCAGAGCAGCCAGGGAGTCTGACGCCTGGAGGTAGCTGAGGAGCTCCGTAACCATGACAACTGTTGTAGCGAGGTGCAAGACAGCGGCGTACAGTGTTGTTTTATAAGCAGACCTGTTTTCATCCGTTGGTTCATGGGCGCGTGGAAGAGATCCCACCCAGTTGAACTTCAGATTAACTCCTGTGAGATGTGCTCATTTGTTTAGTTTACAGCATCAGTTCACAACAGAAGTCATCTCAGGGCGTCTAAACAAATCTAATTACAGTCAGTCCTCATTATAATACAATAAATTCACATTCGGTACATTTAATATTTCTAATTAGTAAAAGTTAATTATCTAAGGAAGGCAGCTTTTATTTTTTTATTATTTTTACCATGTCCTGTCCAGCTGCGTAAAACTCAGAATTGAGTGTCCAAATGAAGCCCAACAGTTTTACTTTCACAAGTGCACCATGATGGCATTTCACCACGATGCTCCTCTTGATATATATTGAAACCTTTATTATAAATTCTTTTATGATTAATTCGTAACAGACACCGAGACGGAAAAGGCAGCAGATTGATGCAAACTCCCATCCTGAGTTGAATGTTGGCGACTGGAAAAGAATGCAGAGTTGTAACATAACTAAGTACAAATACTTCGTTACTGTACTTAAGTAGAATTTTTGGGTATCTGTACTTTACTTGAGTAATTACTTTTCAGCCTACTTTTTACTTCTACTTCTTACATTTTTAAAAAAGACAATGAGTAGAAAGTCGTTACTTTTATTTCATTTTTGCTTGTTTTCTTCCAGTTTCTTATTGTAAAAAATCCTATCCATATAAACTGTGCCTCCTGGATGGAGTGAATTTAACTGGCTGAATAAGAAGTATAAATATATAAAATTCTGATACCATATTAGTTTGTACACAAACAAATCATGTCACACTCCAGCAGGACATAATCATTCAAATAAAAGGACTGTACTTAAGAAGTATTTGTATTTCATGAATTATATTACATGTGGCTGCAGCCCTCAGATAGATTTTTATTTTGGGGAAACTGTTTGGGCAGCCTTGACATATGTTTATAAACTGAAACAGCTGGACTAGTGCATCCTAAATTTAACATAAATTAATTATTTTAATAAAACAGTCATTTCTGCATTTTTTGGGGGGGAGGTCACCTCCTAATAAATGTCCTGACAGAAAATCTAACTGCTCATTTTAAATCAATGCTTTTACTTTTAATACTTACGTACAAAAAATATCAGATACTTTAAGACGTTTACTCAAGTAATATTCCTAAAGGAGACTTTAACTTTTATCAAAGTAATTTTTTGGTAAGATACTTGTACTTTTACTCAAGTATCACTTTGTGTTACTTTATACAACACTGAGAGAATGGCTCACTTTGAACAGAAACCTCCAGCAGACTCGGGATGGCCAGCCATCTGCCCTAACTGGCTGGAGTGAGAGAGGATAAGAAGGAGACAACTACAGAAGAACTGGTCCAGGAACAGTTTATAGAAATATTGAACAAGTAAAGACAGCTGCAAAGTGAAGAAATATGGTCAGTTTGTCCTCCAGCAGTCTATATAAAAAAATCTACAGCCTTTTTTCTTTTTTTTTTTTTCTTTTTTTTGGTGGGTGGGGGGGGGTGGCATTCTAATAATAATGAATTAGAACCATTCAGCCTAGAGGTCATGAATGCAGGAACCAGTTTTTCTGGGACAAGATGGGACAAGATGTTTTCTAATTTTAGTCAAATAGTGCAGGTGGGAGGGGGAGTTGGACGACACGTTTCAGTCAAAAAAATCACACCGAGGTTTTATTTACCTGAAAGCCAAGCTAATGTCGTTTGGAGGAAGTGAAAAGCTTAACAGAGGACATTTCCGTATGAACTCTTTTTGATAAAAATCTATCTGTTGTTCGCTGTCTTTCAACATGCAGGTCCTCCTACACAACTCTCCTCCCTCGCCTGCTGCTCCAGCGTTCCACCTTTACTTTCTCTCCGACTTAGTAGTAAAATCTTTTTCTTTATTGTTCCTCATTAGTACTTTTTTATGGCTGCACTGCCCTCTCTTTGCGCTATTATCTTTCTGTCACCTCTGAACTCCTTTTTTTTTCTTTCGCTTCCCTTTTCTCGACAAGGAGATTTTGAAAAGCAAACTTACATCTAATTCCTTTAATCTACTTTCCCCACCGCAACCTTAAAACGAAGTCTCCAAACCTGAGTGGGAAGACGACGAATAACACATTCAAGCACCGCACAGCAACTTTGGCCAGAATTTTTTTTTTCTTTAATCACAAGAAAACAACATGCCAAGAATGCGTTTGTAGGAGAAAATAATTAATAGCACAAAATGTGAAACGCTGGTTTAATTTCAACCTGTCAGGTTTTGTGAGAGGTTAAGCCCCATCGACATTCAGCGGATTTAAATTTCATTCACACGTCAGAAAACTGAAGCGTAAACACGCCTGACGTTTGTCTGAGCGTGTTGCGGTGTCTTGCTGTCACGTCACAGTCTAATGCCTGGAGGGTTGGTGTGTGTGTGTGTGTGTGTGTGTGTGTGTGTGTGTGTGTGTCCCTGAACACTGTGTACCGTGCTGATCAGCTGAGGTCCCTCCAAGTGTTTGCTCAGTAAATACCATTTGAACTATTCTCGCTGACTTGCACAAACTTTTTTTAACTCATGCATGGCCTTTTTTTTCTCCGTAATCTCGTAAGCTCAAACTTGCTTTAGGACTTTCCTTGAAACACAGCTTTTTAAAAAAAAAAAAAAACTCCTTCTCTTGCATCACCCTCTCCGTTCAGGTGTTTTGAGCAACCCAACACATCTATAAAGCAGTGCGTATCTAAAATGCTCGGGATGCTCAGAGGAAATGTAGGCTTTAGTTTGTGTTTATTGAGACCCCTCATTTTGCGTGGGAGAAGTTCATTTTTTTTTTATTCCTTTCTGTTGAGAACCGAGAATAAAAGCAAGACACCTGCAGACCCGGGAGCAGTTCAGGTAGGGGGACTGCTGCTCGACAGAAACGAGAGCATCGTGTTTCCCGGCAGCTGATAGGAATCTTAATAACTGCGCACTTGATAACCATGCAATATTCAGCGGGAAGCGGATTGGCTACAGAGGGTGGTAGTGTGACACATTTTCCTTTTGGTTCACTGTTCTCCCTGACAGGTATGGAAAGTGGCTCACTTTTACATTTATATGACTTAATTGCTGTCAAAATTACACAGTAGCTTTTGGTAAAAACCTGTTAATCATCATTCACCACAGAGATTTTCATTAGACTTTAACTCAGCTGTGCATCACTGCAGGCTCATGTGCATGTTGCTGTAGCTGTAAAAAAAAAAAAAAAAAACAAGCCCAGTTATTTTCAGCCTCTGTGTATTGACACTGCTGTCATGTTTGCCCAAGCTAAGTGGGCTCCTGATAGATTAAATGTTTAGAACTTACAGAATTGTCTACTGCACACAACTTTGAGTTGTTTGTGTGTTTCAGTGTGCTGAGTGCGACTTAACCCTCCTGTTATGTGTGTGACCCGTTTTAAAGTTTTAAATCTTTTTTTAATAGTTTAAAGTATTTTTTCTACATGAAACTTTTTCTATTTGTCTTAATTTACATATAAAATTAAAATAGTTCATTTTACATTTTTGCAGCCCCCCACCTGCAGCTACATATTACATAGTGTTCGGCTCAGTTTGACCCGACAGTCAAAATAAAAGGGAAAAAGGGTCAAAAGTGTCCAACACTGTTTCTTTGCAACTGTGAGACATATTTCACCTCAAACACACACACACACACACACACACACACACACACACACACACACACACNCACACACACACACACACACACACACACACACACACACACACACACACACACACACACACACAAGTGGGTTGAGCAACTTCCACTGCTTTAAGCCCAAATGTCACAGTGGGTGAAAGTTTGTGGCATTCAGAAGTTGCTGCTCATAATAAAGTTTATTTTCAATATAAATCTTCATGACTCATTTGTTTTGGTTTTTAATTAGCGGGTCAATTTGACCCAGAACAGATTAGGTGTCTTAAGCTAAATTATAAACATCACTCTTCAAAAAAAATTAAAATTAAATAAAAATGCAAAACATAAAAAAAATTCTAAACAAAAATCAGTTTAATGAATAATCATTGTTTTTGTGTCTATGTTTTTGTATTGGACATAAAAAATGTTACATGCTTTCTTTTGGGAAAATGAGTGAATTGTCCTTGTTGATCCTTTAACTGAAAAAAAAACCCCATCAATTCACAAATATTGATTGAAATTGTTAGTAATGGGAGTTAATAATCAGATATGAAAATGTTTTGGGGGATTTTTTTTGTTTGTTTCTGACACTATAGCCTGATTAAACATGCCCTTGGTCAAACTGACCATGCAGGAACATTATTGCTGTTCCTCAGAATCGAACATAACGGGAGGGTTAACCTCATTAGCTTAACCTGTCACACAAAAACCTGTCCCAGTGTAGCTTGCAGGCTGGAGAGGTGGCATATAAACACAGCAAAAACTGCCAAACCACACAAATCCCTAGAAATAAACAGTGCTGGTGTTTTAATGGCTCCCTGTTCTTCAACAAGGTTTTATAAGATAACTCCAACTCTCTCACTTCCCATCGTGGAGGTTAAGTTTACTGTCCGATCACAAAAAGAAAATATAAACTGCGAAGATGTTGATCTTTGTGTTCGGAGTAACGAAGCAGGACAGGATTATAGGAGCAGAATAACGAGTGGAGATAGATTGTTTTGGAAGTCGCAGGAGGAGGTGTTTGGTGTGTTTAGAGGAGGATGGAGAAGATGGAGCTGCCAGTCAGGCAGGAGGAAAATGAGAAAAGCTGAACGAGCTGCGAGGGAGGATATGCAGGTGCTTAGCTTGACAGAGCAAGATGTAGAGTAGAGGAGGAGGCCGAAGACGAATGAGACGAGGTATAAAAGCAGAACGGAGGAGAGTGGAATGTGACCAGCCTTAAGATTTTCTTTGACCACGCTCAGGTGTGGTTATGAATGAATTTAAAGACTCATTTGTAGTCGAAACATGATGTCTTGTTTTATGCTTAAATATTTATGGTTTGCGTATTTGTGTTGCTTTAACTTTTGATAGAATGAGATTGTTTTGTAATCTGATAAAAAATAGTCTCATTAATTTAGCTGTTATAGTGAATGTGTCAAAATTACACCAATCAACAAATCCATTAAATCATGTAGAATGTCCATTACCAAAATGGTTTTATTGCTTGCTGCCATCAAAGGCAGGCTGTAAAGTAATTGCTTGTGTGTGTGTGTGTGTGTGTGTGTGTGTGTGTGTGTGTGTGTGTGTGTGTGTGTGTGTGTGT